GATTGGAACGATTCCTGGCATGCTTCGATCGCTCGGTCGATCGGATTCCCGTAAACCGCCAAACACGAAATCGAGCGCTATTCAATTGCGTGTCATGCCAATGCCAACAGCGCTAGGAGTTACTTAACTCCATCGAGCGACCATGTTGCCAGAGTTCCAACTACAAACGCTATGGTCTAACCCAAACTTTCTCGCCGCCGGGGCTGTTGTACTCGTCATTCTCGTTCAAAGCTTGTACGAGAAGCGAAAACGTGTGTCGGAGGGCAGGGCCCCTATGGTCTCGCACCTCATTCCGTGGGTAGGGTCCGCGCTAGAGATTGGGGGAGATCCAGATGCATTTTTCAATCGCGCACAGTAGGCCACTTCTCACCAGTTAACGTGTGGCTGACGCGTTCTTAGGAGGAAATATGGAGACATGTTCACGATGAAGGCGTTTGGGAGGGTGGTTACGTATGTCGTCTCCCCGTCGGTACGTTCGTATCCTTGAAGCCGCGCATGCACGTTCACTCAAATCGGGTTTCCATTTTTCTTGTAGTTGATTAGCGAGATTTATCGGAACGCACAGGTTTGTTTTTGGGAATGATCCCACTTTTCCATGAACCCGTTCGTTGACATGCCGCCGGTTGTGACCAGGTATATGATTTCGAGCGTTTCCGAGTGACCGCGGCCGTCGACTGCTTCGATATTCCTGCAAGGTTAGTGTTGAAGCAGACCGGTCCTTCCAACTACGTTGACGATTTGCTGCTTTAGCCTGATGAAGTCCGAGGTCACTTCCAAAGTCCTCCACCCCGCTCAGCACAAATACCTCTCGCCCACCGGTATCATTCCTATCATCGAGTCCTATACGACGGCCGTATGGGATCTACTAGAGAGGGAAGGTTCGAGCTTCGAAGACGTCAGCACGCCTCTACGCAATTTCATCCTACCCGTGCTCTATCAAGCTTCCGCCTATGCTTTCTTTGGTCGCTCGTATCCAGTTGTGGAGTCGTACGAGCCATTCAACGACTTCGACAGGACTTTCCATCTGTTACTTGCTGGCGTCCCCCGTTTTTTTTTGAGAAAGCACACAAAAGGGTTGGCTACTCTGCATAGGTTGTTCGAGAAGTATTTTGATGGCCCTCACGACGACGCTTCGGAAATGGTGTTGGAGAACGAGCGGGTGATGCGAAGCCATGGCTACGTGTGTTTTCACTTGACTTCTATGGGAAACTTCGGGTTGCTGATTGAATGTGATTATAGGATTCAAACGCCGTTGGGACTTTCTTTGCATCTTTCCTCTTCGCTTTGATGGCAAATGCCCCAAATGCGGGGTACTGGTTGATCGTCCTTAACCTCCAACGAGAAGACGGTCTCCAGCCTCTGACCGATGAGATTGACGAGGCTGTCGCATCGTGGAAGCAACAAAATCCCGGTCAACAAATCGAGGATCACCTCCACGACTTCGTCTCAACAGCGGAACTTCCCCTTCTCGCATCAACCATTCAAGAGACACTTCGATACGCAGCTTCTGTCATGTCCATCCGACGTGTCACCGAACCCGTAGAGTTTGGCGGTTATCGTTTCAACAAGGATGACGAAATTGTTTGCTTGACGAGGTCGGTTCATTTGGACGAAGAGATCCACGAGAACGCTTCTGTGTATGACCCGAGAAGGTACATGACGCAGAAGAGGCCTACTAAGAATGGGAAGATCGTCGCGAACCATTCTATGCCCTGGGGGGGAGGAGTCTCAATGTGTGAAGGAAGGTCTGTGGTTTCGTTGATCTCCTTGTTCAGGAGGTTTTGCTAATCGAATCAACCCTCCAGGCATTTTGCAAACAGGGAACTCAAAGCTTTCGTGGTTTTCCTTCTCATGCGGTACACTGTAGAGATCGATTCGAAATCCGCTGAGCGTCCAACGTTCATATCGGAACGGGTGGGTGCTGGCGTCATGCACCCCAGAGGTGACCTCCGGGTTATCATCCACGCGCGCAAGTGACAGTGACTATGTGCTACATTTTCCTGTGGGCATACAATAGAAGGATTATAGATACAGTTGCATGTGCTATATTTACCAGGGTTTCAATGAGATTCAAGATACAACTTGACCCCAGTCTCCCCATTCCCCTCCGACCTTCCTAACCTTGACTTTTTCACCCATCGACCCGAAGTAAGCGGCCTTAAACCAGGCGTTCAATTCCTCCTCACCGAAAGGACCGAACGCCCGGTCGTCAGTCGCTCCGGCCCATTTGTATTCGTACTTGATGTCGGCAGACGGTGGTTCCCAGGTAGGTTCGACATCACCGGACGAGCGAATGGAACGAACGACTTGTTCGTAGGTTTTGGAATAGATTTCGGTGTCGCCCAAGGACATGAGAGTCGAGGCAAGGTGGGTGATGAGGTTTATTTCGTCCAAGATGGGGTCTGCAGGAGCCTTTTCTGCGCCCTTCCCCTTCCCCTTTGGTCTAAAATACACAAAACCGGTGAGATATTGAACGTCTGTGAAGCGTTTGGAACATCATACCCTTTGTTTTTCCTCGCTCCTAGTCGTTGCAACGCTTCCAGGATCGTTTCACCCCTCTTGAGCTTGGCCAACAACTGTATCTCGATGGCGACCTTCCCACCCATATCCTGCAATTCCCTCTCCTCCGCCTCCTGCTTCTCCCTCTCCTGTTTTTCCCTCTGTTTGTGAATTCGCCTGGCCTTCCTCATCGCTTTCTCGTCCGCGTCCTCCAGCCACCGATCATGAACGGCATGAGGATCGAATGTCCGAACGTACGACCCGTCTGCCGAGAATTTACCCTCCTCCATCTCCTCCCGCATGTTGAATGAAGACAATTCGTATCCCATCCCAGCTTTCCTCCTCCTCTCGGCGTCGTCTTCGTCCTCTGGTTCGTCCGATTCTGAAGAATCTGATCCATCGCCGAGGCCGCTCCCACCAAATTCCTGGCCCTCGATATCTCCGAGCCTTAAAAACTTGTTCTTGTCCTTCTTGGCGTTCTCCACAGGCTTCTTCTCCTCAGCAGCAGCAGAGGCAAACATGTCGTCGTCATCTTCAGCATCGTTCGTGGGCTTGCGGCTGTTGACCACACCTTCGCCGTCGTCGCTGGAATCTGATTCATAGCCTTCGGTGCGGACGCGTCCTTTGCGACGGGTGCGAGGATTATCCTCGAGATTAGATTCTACTTGTTCGGAGAAGTTGGAAGGATCCTCATCGGGATCGAGGAATCGCGTTTTCTTAGAAAACGAAGCGAAAGTCTCGGAAGCGGATCGTTTAGCGGGTGGTCGGGGTGGCATCGTTCGGTTGTGTCTGGGTGAGAGATACAGGGGATGGAGTTGAAGGTGACGCGTTGTTTGTGCATGTTGTCCAAAGGCTTCGTCAAGTCTTGAAATGGAAAGTGGATCTGCCGTGCCATACGCAAACGATCGTAATCGTCTAGGATGCCATGGGACGACGCCCAAACAGCCGCCCATTTGCGTATATATAAGGACCCATGGAGTGAGCGCGTGTTTGGGTGACGCCAATATCTTGACATTCGAACCCAACTACCACCAAAGAAACCCTCGCGAGCTCATGCGGATGAAGATTCTCTCTCTCTCTACGGTACTCTGCCTTACTGCGATAGTGGCAACAGCACCAATCCCACACGGTCCACTTCTAAGGGTTTCCTTCCCTGGTGTTCGAGGTAATCGACCTGCCTCGAACGTCGGTCAACCCTGCAGTTGAGCCCTTTAATCTATGCGCGTATATCCGTTCTCTAAGCCGACAAACAACGTCGTTGCTCTCCAGATGGGTACGCCAATGCGACAAATAACCGACAAATCTTCCCAATAGCGGACGGACATATCCTCTGGCACGGTTCGAGTACGAACTGGTCGGCTGCCGTGACCATCGCTTTTGGTGGGAATCCAAATACTACAGACTCGTTTACCAATGGCACGACCGATCAATTTGTCGTTCCTTGGTCCACCGGGACGACCACCTCTGGCTGTATCCCCGTCAACATATCAGCTCTACTTTCCCCAGAAATCAGGATCGGCGGGAATGCGACTCTTCAGCTCGTCCAGGATACGGGCGGTAAATGCTTATCTCAGGTGCGTTGATCCCCAGAATGTGCATAGACCATGGCTGATTTAACCAATCAGTGCATGGACGTACGGATGGGGCGTGGGACTAGTTTACCTAAAGGCGTAAAATGCACCACTCCCCTGAGCGGCAATGGAGGCTGGGGTAAAGGTAAAGGTTCGATCCTAAGTGTTAGGTCGCAATTTATCTTGGTGATTGTGATCCTCGTTTTATTTATTATTGGGCGGGAGGTTACGTGGCGTTGCTAGCATTAAATAGTAGTAGCAGAGGGGATAACGGGTAGTATTCGTGGGGATAAAAGTAGGAACAATGGGCGACTATCCATAATACCAGATACTATCATATCCATCGTAGAAGGGTTCCATTAACCGAGATTTATTCCTCAATATCTAAAGTCTTCCGCATCGCGCACATCAACGAAACCGGACAATCGAACATCAGGATGGTACCAGCATATGGTAGGGGTGGAGGTGGTACAGATGTGCGGTTTGGAGCCAAACACAATATTCGCGGTCCAACGCGTGCGGACGGGGCCCTGGGACTGTGGGAGTTCCCCTTAAAAAGCTCTAAGTATCCGTTCAGAAGTGGATACAGCCTTATGGACAGTTGGACCCCGACTATTGTCCGGGGCTCGAAACAATACAACTCACGGTGATTGGCGCCAATGAGTTCAGAAAAGATTCTATCTTGACCATGGAAAGTCGCTCATTGATCCGAAACGCACGTGCGAAATGATATCCGCTCTGGACTCTGCGTAGGTCCAAGTTGGACCTACGCAGAGTCCGGATTAGCCGGGCCGTGCTTACACTTTTCGCGTTCTCATAAACGCTAGTCTACACCAACATCACAGTAGGGCTGCATGATACCACCGCAACTGCTGCGGGGTCCTCAATTTTTCCCCTATTAGTGGTCCGGCTTGCGAAGGAAAAATGTATTGCTCCCTGCCAGGCTCGAACTGGCGATCTTCGGATTGTTCCTGGAATTCCAGGCTCACACTAGCTATGAGACCGACGCTCTACCGACTGAGCCAAGGAAGCATTATATTTGTGGTCGTTACGATCGAGGTATTCTGTTTAACAAAATGGTTTATCCACACGTAGTGTGTATGCCAAGTTTGGAAGCGGCGGAACGTGAGCACTATCGATGTTGACCTCTCACGAGCTAGAACTAGCCCTAAAAGGAGTCTACAAAACCGTCCTCAACCTACTACCTTTACACGTCATCACCATGGGTGAACGAGTCAAATGTGTCGGAAGTGTCCCAGTGCCCGAGCAGAAAGTATCGATTAAGGATCGACCGTTGGTCAATCTGGGGACGACCGTCGTGTGGACGCTGGGGGAGCAAACCACGTTGACGGCCACTGAACCAGAGTATAATCCATCCAAGGGTCAGAACAATCGCTGCAACTAGTAGACAGTCAGACGAGAACCAGACGGAACAGGTCAATGGAAGATACCTTGGTATACGGTGTCGTACTGGATACAATCGAAGTAAGCGGGGGAGGTTCCAGATGTCGCTCCCAGAATTACTTACCGCATTATGCTCATCGTGACGTCGAGCCCAGGTCCTGAGAATGTTTAGGAAAATCGCTGGGTGGACTACACAACCCTCGATTGCATCCATGATCTGTCTACGGCAGGCCCCCCAACGTGTGTGAGGAGCCAGTTGACTTTCTGTTTGTCCGACCCCGAAGGCCCGGAAAATAACCATGACCATGACACAAACATTAGTTAGGAAAGAGACAGAGAAATTTTCCAGGGCGGCTGCTCGGATACCACCAGGTGTGGAGCTCGTTGGTCCAACCCGAGAGGATTTCAACACAGTCACAATGAAAGTTGCTAGGCATGTGGTCTGTTATAACAAGCAAGGCATCTCATGGCTTCTAGACCCACCAGCAGCGGCGAACAAGTAACGGCCGCGAATTAGGAGGTATACCACTCGTTTCCAGCGAACTGCCTGTGGCTGGTGAACCTTGTCCCAGGGGTTCAGCATGTGGGATGAGGATCCTGGTCGAGTACTCACTGTAGGGGTGCTACGGGTACAAATGTCCCGGTCGTGAGGCGGGTTAACTGCAGTGTCAGGGGGCATCCCCATTACGGCCAGGTAAGTCTCCCGAGTTTGGTGTTCCAATCCACTCGATACCTCCCTAATGATACGCAACAAACATAAAGGAATTAAGGACCGAGTCGACAACACGTTGCGCACCTAGACACAGCTTGCGCCTGGTGGAAACAGATTTCCCACCCGTCCCACCCCTGTCGGCAAGATGGGAGGAGGACAGATAATATGTGGATTCTAGTGCGGAGAGTCATCTTCGAAACAACTCGTCCCCGGTCTGTTATATCGATCCTGCGGGGGGCATCGGTGATTTGGATTCCGTATAACGATATAGAGGGTTGGTTGATCATTACCACTCTCCTGGCCGGATGGTTTCCCTATGCGGTGAAAATTGGGAGGGTGTTTGCTAACTTTAAGCGGTCATATTGAGAGACTCAGGTTTTGTAGAAACCTGTGGACAAACCTAAAGTTTGGATAGATGGTCCGTAAGTAGATAACCCACGGGAAGAGTTCAAAGGTTTTTCATCCCATCTGTTGGGTTTAAATCCAAGGGTTCACGAAAAGCCGCGGCCAATCTTGGTTGCCTTTGGTGGATCGCACCAACCGAAGGGCATCAGGCCGGATTGGATTAGTGCCTCCGCAACGCCCAACTCGTGATCTAGCGGTGGCCAACACCAGCTTCAGAACCGGACCAGTCTCTGTCGAGACGGCGTTCGAGACCTATGGACCCCAAACTAACCGAACCACCATTCGTCCAAGCAGAGGGCGTGATCAACCTCCGCGACGCTGGTGGACAACTGTCTCGTCTCCCTTCCTACACTAACCACATCGTCAAACCCCGTTATCTGTACCGCGCCGGCGAACCGTCGAGGATCACACCGAAAGGCATAATCCAGCTGAGAGATGAGCTTGGCGTTAGGAAGGTCTTCGATCTGCGCAGTGACGTGGAGGTCAAGGGATACAAAGCTGATCCGTTGATCATCGAAGGCGTTGGGTTCGTTAAGGCCCCAGTTTCGTCTGCAGAGGCCTACGATCCATTTAGTCTTGCGAGGAGGGTCAAAGGGTTCCAGGATGATCCCTTGGGGGTATGAATGCTCTCTCTAATCGTAGGGAGAGACCTTGACACGGGTTGCTGGCAGGCTTTCCTCCATCTCTACATGGAAATCATGGAGAAGGGAACAGACTCTGTATATAAAGTCTTGACCCACATCCGAGACCACCCAGACGAGCCTTGTCTGGTCCATTGCACAGGTTTGAACGCTCTGTCGATCCATTACCAAGGGTCAGGCGTCTGACATCTGACAGCCGGAAAGGACAGGACAGGAACAATCGTCGCCGTTATCCATCTGGTACGGGATTTGGGGGCTAATACTAGGTTTTAAACCACTGAACACCACACGCTAGCTCCTGGGAGTCGATGACGAAGAGATCGTCAAAGACTATACTCTCACCACCGTCGGACTCGAACCTGCCCTTCCTGGCCTCGTGGAGAGATTTAAAGCCCACGACGTCTATCGCGACAACTGGGAAGGTACTATGAATATGAGTAGTTCGAAGTGGGTTCACAGGATGGCTGTTTTTCTGTTTTTCGAAACCAATCATTGATACCCATTAAAGGCCAGAGTGGATCATCGCATTCCTCAGCCAGTTCCGTGAGAAATACGGAACTGCTGAAGGCTACGTTAAGAACCGGGTTGGACTGTCCGACGAAGATATTGAAAAGATACGCGTGAACCTCTTGGTCCCCAAGACTGTCCCGAACTAGTTCTGAGTGTGTCGCTCATTAACATTTAACGTTTGTTTAGTAAAGTACGTGTGTCGGGTGCATGTGGGATTGTGCTATGTGTAGGTGTATACCATGAATGCAGGATAGAAGGTTTTCGCTTGACCTAAACCTGAAGTACTTCCTCCGCTGCGTTTTCTGGAACTTTCTCAGCCTCATCATGAATTTTCTCAAACTGTTTCCCAACATCGGCGACCTTGTTTTCGACCTCTTTTTGGATGACCCCATCGACACCACACTTCTCCAAGCATCTGCCTACCATCCCGATCCACTTGAGATGACCCTCGACACCCTCACATTTAACGTTTTCGACGCCCTTGACTATAACTGGCGCTAGGCCGGCCACACCCCAAGACCCCTGGGTTAGCATCGTCACCCGGCTGAGGATAGCCAAGACGTAGTCTTCCTCGGGCTCCACCCACCCATTGACCAACCTACCCGAGACTACGGCTCGGACCTTCTTCCACGAAACGACGTCCCGTGTAGACGTTGGTAGTCCAAACAAATATGCGCTATCGATCAAGTGTGTGGTTTGTGATGGAGGGAGGGCCGCAAGGTATTTTAGGGCTTCGAAGATTACGAGTGAACCGAGGGAGTAGCCCGTCAAAGTGACAGGCCGGGTTCCAAGAACTCGTTGAGACAGTAGGATTCCCAACACTCGACCCGCCTTTAATGCTAACGCCTGGGCGTTCGACCAAGGGTTATCTTTGTAGTTTAATTAATGTTTGGATTAGTTCTTAGTCTCCCAAATGTTGTGGCTTTCGTCTACCCACCAATGATCTTCCCCATCTGAAGGTATGCCACGGGAGAAAGGGATGCGAACAAGCTCGCGAGAATGGTTCGTTTGATGATCTCTTTCTCGATGTAGCGGATCGCCTTGCCCTTGAGAAGCATAACCAGCGCATCTGAGAGTTCGAGCAGAGCGCCTACTTCCCACTGTAGGGCGAACGTATCTTGGGTCTTGTCAAATATTTTCCACGGATCCACTACATCGTTCCCGGTACTCAGCCACCCGCTCACGCAGAGGCGAATGGCGAGGGTATCTTTTGGTGGGTAAACCGGGACAATCGCAAGGTCCTGTACGTCCTTGGTGTGTCTCCCAATCATCGTGGATGTCTTGTGAGCACCATATGCACCGAATAGTGAACCACAAACGACGGAGGAACTAGCCAAGGTTGTCGCTAGAATACCAGCGGCGGTTCCCCCGAGACCAATGGCGCCGAGGAGCGTCGAAATCCCCGCGCCAACTAGCGGCGCGGCTGAATGGAAATCAGTCAGACGCTGAGGTGAATTCAAGGTCATGGGGATGCCTTACCCAAACCTCCAGTGACCCCAATAAGCACTCCTCCCGCAACCGCACCGGCCGCCATGCCGGCCTTCCTCCAAAAAGCTCCAGCCTTGGCTTGCTGTTCTCTTGCGGCGTCCGCTTCTTTCTGTGCTTTTACGAGCACATCATCGGAGTTCCTTATGGTGTGAACAATCGCGTTCTCGTCCACGGTCCCGATACGTGGGAGGTACGCCCGTGTGCGAGCTGAATAGCCCTTGGCTGAGGTGATGTGGATAAGGATGATCGTAGTCAGGATCTTGTCTAATTCTGGCTTGAGTGGGAGGGCCGGAAGGGAGGAAGTCGTAGTGTCAATATCGTATTCAATCCTCGGGCATTGCTCTGTAGAAATTTTGTTCGTCAAATCAGATCGGTTCAACCCGAAGCCTGCAGATCGAACTCGAGGGTATTTACACCAACCTGGACCTCTAGTGGTAGTTGCAGTCCACAGCGTTTTCAATAGATCATTTGCCCAAGAATCGATTTCAGGATTCTGCTTCTCGTATGCCCGTACGTAGTATACTTGGCATATATTTCTGTAATCCGCGAGATGCCTATAGGCGTGCTCGAACACAATGGCGGTGTCTATGTTCCGCTCCTCCTGTGTAGCTGGCCTACTGAAAACAGTGTCGCGTTGGGCATGGTTGGAAAATAGGTTCAGCGAGACCATAGTGTCTGCTTGGATGTGGAGGTGGAGAGTAAGATTAGGATAGGCATGCTTTGACGATGCGACAGTGGGGTTGGAAATAGGGTTAATCGATCCGCGATCGCTGATCCGTTCTGACTTGTCCAGGAACCGAGGCCAAACAACTCCCGATTGAAGCAGAATAAAACACCGTTTAACGTGTCTCGCGGTACTATTTGTATAATAA